TGACTCAAGTTTTACTATTCAACGAATTAACATTTCACTTGCAATCTGCCACAGTAGGAAAAACAAAAACAAAATAAACACTCTGTGTTTATTCAAGTACGTAGTCCTGAAGCCAATTATAATAGAGAGGTCATCACTCTGCACTTCCACTCACCAGGACTTCCTGTTTGCCTCCTCTGCCTCTTCCTTCTTCCCCAGCCTTTCCTGACTACCATTCATCCCACTTTTCCTTTATTTTTTCCCCTGTCCTACCTGAAAAAATGATTTTTGCAGAAGGTTGGTACAGCTATTTTCATTGCTGTCTGGGCTGTTTCTCCAGCACGTGACAATAAATTTGTTTCATAGGTGATTCCAGCATACGATCTGAATGAAGATCCATGGCAAAATCTGCTATTCTTCAAACTATCTCCATCAATAGGTTTGCATGATATGCAGCATTCAATCAATGCCATCTGTATTCATGGTGGATAACTGTTATAAATGAAAAAATATTAAAGATATTAAAGACTGAAATGTTAGCTGGATAATGCTAACTTTCTAATAAAATTATTTATGAGTAGAATGTACACTCACGTTCATAATACAAGGATAAGCATATTTTGACAGAATGAGAAATTGAATACAGATGTAGGTTTTAAATTAAAAGAAAAAACAAAATCTGATGTAAAATGACCCTACTATCTATCCTCAGCTCTTGATTTTTGTCTACTCTGTCTTATGCCAATAATAAAGCTGTGGCTTACTAACTGCTATACAATCTAGCCCCACTGCATATCACGTAGTATAATGAACAGGCAATGCTTTTGGTCTCCATGGCTTTATATTTTTAATCCCTATACCTGGCAAGCTTTCCAGATAATCCTTCTCTCCTACACCCATTTTTTTCTTCCATCCCCCTGAACACTCACCAACTCTTGAACATGCACACTGTCAGGGTGAATGGGACTTAGCAAATGCTTAATCATGTTCATTGAAAAAAACTGAATAAGTAAATAAATAAAACTGCATTATGGATTCATTTCTAAATGCCCATGATTGAGCTGAAATACAAGAAATAGGTACAGCCTTGACTCTAGGGCTATTGTGTTTCTTCGGCTACTAAGAACAATAGATGAAAAGATCTGTTTTGTCTCCTTCGTCCTTCGTGCTATTTCCCAAACTCTATTTGATATTCTGGCATTAAAGGATAGGAAATTTATATATTAGCCATCTTCTTCAAACAAAAAGAATTCTCACCAAAACCAAGAATAACTTTACAATTGTTACACTCAACCATCTATTTTACATAACTTCCCTACAGCATTTGACACTGTTCATCATATCTCTTCTTTCTATTTTAAAAAGGTTTTTAGCAATAATGTGTAAGTCCTATTATTTTTTATTTAACAGAAAAACAGATAAGGGGACAGACAGACAGGCAGTTCCCATCTGCCAGTTCACTCCCATCCCCTAAATGTGCACATTGTCCAGGGCCTAGTTGTGTCTGGGCTGGGTCAGAGCCAGGAACCAGAAACTTCATACACGTCTCTCAATAGGTGGCAGGAGCCCAATCATTTGAGTCATCACTACTGATTTCTATGATCTGCATCAGCAGGAAGATAGAGTTAGGACTCAGAGAAGGGTATCAAACTCGGGTACTCTTATATTGGACTCTGATGACTTCACTGGCATATTAACTGGTAAGCCAAACACCCACCTTTCTCCTTTCTGGAAACGCTACTCTCACATAGATATTCCATTCTCTCCATTGTCTAGCAATTCTATGGCTATTCCCATTCTTTCATGTCCTATGTACACATTCCCTGTGTGGTGGAGTTCTCAGAGCTAGATTCTTAAAATCTTGAACCAAATACTCTACCTTGGTGATACACTCTTGTTTCCTTAAGAACACAAAAATTCCAACCATGTTATTAGTTTTCATATACTTTCACTGTATAACTAAAAATTTTTAATTTTCTGCTAGGGCAATAAATTTTGATACTAATACAGCTTCAATTTAATATTCACAACAAATTTGTAGCACATATCCAATATCCCTCACCTACGTCTATCACAAAGGAAGTATATAACACACTGCTTCATTTTAAATATTGGCTCCCTAGGTCTACTAGTTGAATAACTTTGGACAAGTTACTTAACCTCTCTGTGTTTCCCTTTCTCACATGTAAAGTGGAAATAATAACAGCACCTCCCTTTCACTATTGTTATAATGATAAAAAGGGGCTGATCATGCAAAATGTTACCAATATTATGTACCACATAGTAACTGCTATAAAGGTCAGCCATTATTAGCCACCATTGTATTTATCACAACATAATTAATCTTTTAATTTATATCCCCCACTAAACACTGAGCTCCAAGGGAGGTAGAAATTATTTCTCATTCATTTAATTCCAGGTTCCTAAGTTGGCTCTGATAAAAAAGGGTATCTTGAATAAATGAAAATCTTACCTGTATCCTGTGTTCTCAACTTAATTATTTATGACTAAATGAATCTCAGTTCCACTATCAATTGCCCACCCAAGCAGTCATTAAAATACGCTGAGTCTAGTTTAATGACCTCCGTCCTTTCTCCACTACCACTGAAAACCTTCATCATATGCTATGCAGTGGACTGGATGTTTGTGTCTCCCTCCAAACTCATATATTGAAACCCTAATCTCAATGTGATGGCATTTGGAAGTGGATATTATAGGAGCTTTTAGGACATCATGAGATGGAGCCCTTTGAATGATATCAGTGCTCTTGTAACAAGAGGTCAGAAAGCTGGTTAGCTCTGTCTCCACCATGTGAGACTACAAGATGGCAATCTACAGCCAGAGCCTCACCATGCTGGCACTCTGATCTGAGACTTCAGTCTTGAGAACTGTGAGACAGACATTGTAGTTGTCATAGCCATCCAGTTTGTGGTGCATTGTTATAGCAATCTGTATAGACCAAGACAAAATCTCAGTTGAGCTATTGAAATCATTCCCTAACTGGTTTATATAACAAGACCCTTATAAATATCACCTCTAAGCTTACTTTCTTAAAAGAAAAAAAAATAGTAAATATTTTACTTTTCAGGTGGAAACATCTGTATTAAAGTTTCTGCTTAGAAAAGTGAAATGGCCCCGCTCTATAAGTTAAATATAAACTGTTTGACTATCAGCAAAAACTTCTTTTCCTGTTAAAAAAAAAATAGCTTGGTTATAGAGAACAAGATTCCTGGGAAGTTGATTAGGAATGTAGAGAAGAAGTGATAATGGGCACTTTTTTTTTTTCCATCGAAGAAGCGAGACTACCAAAAAATAAAAGCTGGTCCTATGAGCCCAAAACAATGAATTTATTTCTAGCCCAAGACAGCAACAGTTTCCAAAGAAGCTTAAAGTAATTTTCTGGGGTCTAGCTTCCCTTTCTTTAAAACATGTCCTCTGTTTTTCCTTCACTCTTCCCCTCTCAACTAGGCATTTTCAGTAGGAAAGTAAGATTGGGAAGGAAAATAAGAGCTTTGGAGACTGATGGTGTCTACACACTTTATGGATTAAAATGAAGGAGTAATCTGTGTATACCTCTATATAATATATAGTCTTGCTTTGCTATTAGACATTAGTAGCATTAGCATAGAAAAGGATTGCAAAGTCTTCTGGGAGCTTTCCACCATCCCTATAATTAGTGATAAAAAAATCCTAGTCTCCTGTTTGCATTGACCTTTTAAAGAAAACTTTAGAGAAACTCAACATAAAATAAATTAACAAAAAGGCTGATATATACAAATTCATAATTAATACAATGGAAAATATTGTAGTGAAATAGGACCTAAATAAAATTCCAAGCACTTTTGGGGCCAACACCATGGTACAGTAGGTTAATCCTCCGCCTGCAACACTGACATCTCATATGGGCTCCGGTTCTAGTCCCGGCTGCTCCTCTTCCAGTCCAGCTTTCTGCTATGGCCTGGGAAAGCATTAGAAGATGACACTAAGTCCTTGGGCCCCTGCACCCACATAGGAGACCGGGAAGAAGCTCCTGGCTCCTGGCTTCGGATCAGCGCAGCTCCGGTTGTTGCAGGCATTTGGGGAGTGAACCAACAGATGGAAGACCTTTCTCTCTGTTTTTCCTTCTCACTGTCTACTTCTCAAATAAATAAATAAAATATATTTTTTTTTAAATTCCAAGCACTTTCTAACTAAGTGTAAAAACTTGTAGTTGAAGTTTCTGTTTTCTCAGCCCTCAATTTTCTTCTCTAAAAATGAGGAGATTGGAACCTATAAATTATTCCTTTCTACTTCAACTAGGGATCAGAACTGAACCAAGTGTAAAATTCAACTAATTGAAAAAAAAGTATCACATGTTGAAAAAGATATAAATACAATAAAGTCCAAGCTTAGGCAAATGATAATAAAGCTTACAATTGTCAAATAAATATCAGGCTGAATTCTCATTCTTCCATTCTTAAGCTTCAGTTCAAGCAGGTCATCATTTGAGCATCAATGCAGCTGAATTATTTTACAATATAGGGGTTTTTTTATTAAATGGCAAAACTGAAAGAAGTCATGTTCATGTTCTTGTTTATACTTTAATATGTGCATGAGTCCATGTACTTTTGCAATGCCTTCTTGTCCTGTATATGATTTTGTTTTTCCATAATGAACATAATTATCTCTCTTTACAGAAAGGGAAAAATTTGCCTCTTAAAGTGGCAAATTATCTGAATTGAGCCCATTGTTATTTCCAAAAAGTGCAAGAATTATTTCTAAATTCTCTCTTTTGCAATTATAGAGAGAAAAGACTGACTGTTTCAGGCCTTTCACCCTTCTGAACTGTAGAACTGGCGCTCCCGAGTCTTCCAGTTACAAATGCAGTGCCTTCCTCCACTTCCCAGAGCCCCTCAAGAGTAACGGAAGGGGAGTCCAGTCATTGTTACGAAGCTCCACAAGGAAAGTGAACAGCATCTATATCGTCGCCTTTGCCAGTGTGTTGTATTTGGAGACCTGTTGTCCCTTGGTTTTCATAACAATATGACAGATACCTAGCATCTAGCAAAACAATGGCAGCTGCTTACCTCGACCCAAATTTGAATCACACACCGAATCCCAGTGCCAAGACTCACCTGGGTCCTGGCATGGAGCGCTCCCCTGGTGCCGTGGAGCGAGTATTGAAAGTCTTTCATTACTTTGAAAGCAATAGTGAGCCAACCACCTGGGCCAGTATTATCAAGCATGGAGATGCTACTGATGTCAGGGGCATCATTCAGAAGATAGTGGACAGTCACAAGGTAAAGCACATGGCCTGCTATGGATTCTGCCTCAGTCACCTGCGGTCCGAGGAGGTTCACTGGCTCCACGTGGACATGGGCGTCTCCAGCGTGAGGGAGAAGTATGAGCTCGCCCACCCCCCAGAGGAGTGGAAGTAAGACGCAAACCTGCTTTGGACTGATGCACATCTGCTTTGTTGTCATGTTAAAACATGCGTAAGAGGATAAATGTGTATTCTTAGTTTTCATTATGACGCCTGTACAAAAGAAATTGGTTAGTCATTGCAACCTGTAGACTTCTGTTCAGCCTCTGGCACTCCTTGAGCCATCTGGTTTCATTGTGTTGTGATGCTGTTACTAGGCACATTTCTTGTCTGTCTCTCAACAGAACCCAAGCCCTTAGTCTTTTTGCTGTCTGATCCTTTATCTCTTGGTGTACCCCTGAGGAAAGTATGCCTAATTACCTTAGTATTGGGCTGCGTAGCTTGCTTCCTGTGGCCCAGTAACCCCCAGCTCCCCTTAAAGAAAATGTTTCTATATTTGGTATTCATATGGAACATTGAAACTGCAAAGTGATCTTTTAGTTCCTAGTACTGAAGCATCAGTGAAACTGAAATTATTTCAAAGTGAAATAAAAGAAGTCCCTGTAACTGTCTTTCTTCTGGTTCTCCCATAGTAATTTTTCTCCATTGTTAAGTAAATCAAAATATTAATTGATAATTGTAGATTTAAAGTACTGAACTTCAAAAGAAGTATAAATTGTAAAAATGGGCTTCTTCCATGGGGTTCTCGTTTTTATTGCTAATACCACAGAAATAAAGATAATTATGAACTGACAAGTTCAAAAAAAATTCTCCTTGGGAGACTCTAACCTAGAAGAAGCATCTTCTGGGTTACAGATATCACTTTTGCCCCAAAACCACCTGTGTCATTGCTTATAGATTGAGTCCTCCAAGTTTTCCTGATTTGCAGTTGCACTATGATAACCAGCTGAACCTAAAACCCAATAAATGTGTTTGTTCTTATTTTTAGACTTTATTTTCCTACATGAAATAAATGGGAGTAATATTAGTTACATCAACAGTACTACTAAAGCATTCATTGAGCTTCAATAAGAGTAACAATAACAATAAAATTTTATAGCTCTCTTTCTCAAAGGAAATTAGAATACTACCAACATTATTGTCTCATTAATCCCCAAGTCTTTGAAAAAATAGTTCAGCATGTGTAGATGGACGAGTATGAGCCTCTTTTCCATTACCTTACCTGAAAATCATTTAGGTAATGAGTAAATGAGACAATACACATAAGGTACATTTCTGCATGGTAAGCACTCAACATATAATTCTTTTATCTCTCTCTACCAACCTCTGACTTTCTCTTCCTCCTCCTACTCCTATAATCCCTCCCCACTTCCTTTCTTTTATAGTAGTTCAACCTGAGACAAGTTGGTTGGGTTTAAGGGTTTTGTCACTTTGATCTCAAAAGTGTTCTGATTCCAAAATTTATAAAAGTGTATTATACTGAGGCTGATGCGTGGTGTAGCGGGTGAAGCTGTCACCTGCAGTACCAGCATCCCATATGGGTGCCGTTTCAAGTCCCAGCTGCTCCACTTAGATCCAGCACTCTGATATGGTCTCAGAAATCCGTGGAAAATGACCCAAGTCCTTGGGCCCCTGCGTCCACGTGGGAAGATCTGGAAGAAGCTCCTGGTTCCTGGCTTCAGACTGGTGCAGCTCTAGTCATTGTGGCATCTAGGGAGTGAAACAGTGAATGGAAGACCTCACTCTTTCTCTCTCTGCCTCTGCCTCTCTGTAACTCTGCCTTTCAACTAAATAAATAAAAATCTAAAGAAAAAAAAGTGTATTATTACTATTGAACTTGTATACAAGGACATGTCCAACTCTACAGTAAATTTTCTAGAGAGCAGGATAAATCACTTTTCTCTCTCAGCATCACTCTTGGGATCAAAAGAGCCTTAAACATAGGATATTATGATGCCTGAAATTTGGACTTCAAGTTAGGGAGAGAGAAAAAACACTAAGGTGAGCTTTTCCACGCGCGCTGTGCGGGTCTGCGGACGCCTTCCTTGGAACAGGAGCTGTCAAACCCCGCGCTCTGTTCCCTTTTGCATGGTAACCAATAAAGGTTTGTTCATACCACAAAAAAAAAAAAAAAAAAAAAAAAAAAAAACACTAAGGTGAGATAAGACAACTCCAAGAATTCAAGTTATAATCTGTATGCCTGATTCTCTGTTTGCAAATCTCTATGGTTTTACAAGAGCTTTTATTAAGTGTTGTCAAAATATTGTGGTTTTGTCCTGAGGCATTATTGGAAAGATAGCATGATGCTTGGTCCTGACGTAAGACTGTGAGTCATGTACCACTTAAGGTAGCATTAGTGGTGCTGGGGGGCTGGGGGTAGATCAGGAGGTATAACAATGAGAGTCTCTCCATCCTCAGAATCTTGGAGCTAAAGTCAAGTCTTTAAGATTCAACTGACTTTTACCGAATCCAGATACATGGAGATTCTCTCTCCATTTCCAACCTAGGATTAGTGGGGATTTGAATTGCTAAATGTGGAGTTTTATCTTGTGAGGAGTAGTGTAACACATGGCATTTTGGAATTTATGTAGATGGAATAACTTTCTCAGGAAGGAGTTGGTCACATAGCTGTTCTCAGACTTTTTCCAAGAGCAAGAGTTATTAAATGACAGCATTTCCTCAGACATTTACATGGATGGCCAGATATACCAGGAAGAATGTAAATTTGCAGGATATTAAACTTGATGATGTCTCTGTGACTTGTGACTTTAGAAAAATAAATCATGGCTGTAGGCATTATCTGAATCTTAATGGAATTGTGGTATCCAGTCACTGGTTTGAGCACCACTTTCATTTTCTATGAGAACTGAGCACATGCCTTGATTTCTCTGAACACACGCACACACACACATACACACACAAATGAAATTAAAAGAAAAACAGTTCCTGTTCAGAGTGAATGGTAGTACAATGAATAACTCTGGAAAAACACTGGATTTAGCAAAGGGGATTTATAAGATAGTATTTCAGTAGGAAAATATACATAGCTTGGTTCAAACAATCACAAAAGAAGGCAATAATAATGTTGCAGCATTAGAAGTTTCTAAGTTTCAAAGACAGAGAAGCTAAAGAAAGAATGGCTGTATTTAGAAGGATTTAGCAAAGCAGAACAATGTGAAATTAGGCAAGCAAAAAGCTGGTCTGCTGTTTGCAACATTTTCTCAACAGGGAGATGTATTACCGAGGGGTAGAGTCTCCCCAGGGCTGCTGTAAATGCTTCACTGCTCATGTCATTTCAAACAAAATACATAAAGCTGCTATAGGAGGTGGACAAGGTGACCTGACGGGTCTCCTGTCTCTAATTTCTATGATTTAAAGGTTCTGTGCTATTACCCAGCAAGAAGCACTGCCTTTCAGGGATTCCATTTATAAAATGACCCTATATTTTTTTTTCTTTTAGCTTCCACCTTTGGAGAACTCTTTTTTACCCCCACCTATGTAGAGGAACTCCAAGATTATAGCACCCAGCAGCATAGGATTGAGGAGGGTGTGGAAGGAGGGGTAAACAGGAGAAACCGCCTGCTTACTAGGGAAAAAAGTTAAGCATGAGGGAAGCTGGAGGAAAGGTGAAAAGATCACCACACACTAGCAAGTTTCCCTGCATCTAAATGGGATTTTGATTTAGACACCACATTCCTATAAGAAAAGCTATATTGAACACAGCAAAATTGCACATTAATCTTCCTTTTGACAAGACTAAGGAAAACAAACAAAAGTATTAATTTAACACTCGCTTGCTGAAGTTCTCTTATTGTAATTTAATTCTCAAGGGAGTCCCACGGTAGTGACAACCTTTGGATGATACTAAGCTTCTCTAACTTGTTAAAAGACTTGTAATGACAATTCTGGAATGTAATCCATGTGTTTCATTTACACGACCTATAGAAAGTGTTATCTTTTGGTCCAGACATGAATTCACAAATGAAAAATCTTTGGAAAGCAACACTTTCTGGGTTTCAATGATAAGTACAAGGTTAAATCTACATCTTTTTTCCCCTGTGTGAATGGGGCACATTGTGAAAAGCATCTACGAGAGACTGTGAAACACTAGAAGCTGCGATATTCCTCATCAAGATTCAAAGCCAATTGTGAGTGGACTGCATGAAGGATTTTTGCCTAGATTTTAATGCTTTAACCTAGACCAAAACAGAATGAGGGCTTCTTCATTATTTATCAACTAATACATATACTATCAATACATGAATATTAGACCTTAGGACTAATAAAAGCAATTCATGAAAAATCTGGCTGTGGGAGCCACAAGAAAGAAAAAGGAAAATAATACAATATCCCCTCTTCTCGCTCCTCCCTCAGTCCTGTCTCCTTTCATTCCTGTTACACCCTCAGACATGGACTCAAAAGCATCAGTGAACTTGGACACCTGGATGTAGCAAATCAACCCCTGCTAACCAAGTAACAGAAAGAGGCTAAAGAACATGAGTGCCATTTCTCACATCTGCCCAGCTTGCTGCCTTTGGCCGTGATGTTCCTGTTCCTCACACCCTCTATAATGGACTTACTCACTAACTCACATCTCCTGTTTCCTTACATTTTACCTGTGAGGGAACTTTTAAATATTCTTTCCCTGGCATTTTAGCTATAGCTAATTACACTTATGGTTCAATTTTATAGTTAATTAAAATACATATGTACTTATCTCCTCACATGGAATATATAATGTGTTTCCAAGTTTACCATAGATTAGATCTTTTTAAATGCTGAAAAGAAAAATAAATAAATGAATTTGTCACACATGTATCTCTGCTTACCATTACTGGTTTGGTCCAGGGATTATCTAAATATGTTAGTACAATCCAGGGTTGGAAAGGCCCTATCTTTGAGACAATCTTGAATTACCCTTACCAAAGAACCTATCAAGGATTTGGCAAGCCAGTGCTTGAAAATTTCCTCCAGTAGGGATCTTAAGGCCTTCCAAAATAGCCCATTTCTTCTAGGTACAAATATTATGAATTTGACATATATGGGGCTGACATATCTCTCAGAAATGTCACACATGGAGATCCATTCACAAAGAAATTAATTTCCATTAAAATTAGAAACAAGACAAAGATACTATCACTGCTATTATTCCTCACTCTATCAGATGCACTAGCCAATACAATAAGAGTAAAAATAAGGGAGAATTAATGACAAAAAGAAACATATAAAATTGCCCTTAGAATAAAATAGCATTCAGAAAATTCCATGCAA